CAATCCTACTTCTGGGGGATAGCCACCATACATTGACCCCAGTTTTCTATGCATGTTCATGAAACTGTCTTAGAACTTTGCTTGTCCCCCCTAACAACCAGTCATGGACATTCATCCAGAGCAGCTCTCCTGGAGCCACCTCTTTACATAATATGGATATTAGCTCCTTGCCTGATTTGTATGTGGCTCCAGCGTGTGTTCAGGGCAGCTTTCATATTTCTATGCAGTCAAGTCCTCGCTGTTTTCTTTACACCTGTTGGGTTTGTATAATGCTTAGAAAGACCTTCCCAGTTGCCAGCATTTGGAAGTACACCTGCCGGGATCAGAAAACAAAGACTTACACAACTCAGAACTTTTGGAACATACATTAACGTTGTGATTCATTACTGTGAGTGTATTTTGCTTTTTACTGGAGGAGTTCAAGTGACTAAAACCCTTTTAGGTGCCGTGGGGAAGGCTACCTGCAGCTAATGATGAGAAATGGAGGCATGAGGCATCCCGCAACTTGCACAGGTCTCTTCATTGCACCCCTCGGGCCTCCTGTAGGTCACGGTGTATGTGGGCGGCGGGAGAAGGTCAATAATTCGTTGCTCATGTAGTTGAACCTGTGGTCTAAACAGCATGGAGTGTAAGAAGCTGGTTTTAGCTTATTTCTGTATTTCAGAAGGTCGTTGTCAAAGGTAATAACAGAAAAATCATTTGGAGACTCAAAAATTACTGATAAAGCCAGTTGAAGCCAGTCGTTCTTGGCGAGTTCCAGTAAGATCTCCACACACTCGAGACTCTCTCTCTGAGAACATCACACAAAGGTATTTGTCAGAAGGACGAGTGAATATGTAAAAGAAAAAAAAGTGATTAGTTATATTTTTGACAGTAAGGTATTGCTATGAATATTAATCATGTTTTCCCTGCATTATTTTTCTTAGAAAACACATTCTGTCTATAAAAAGTCAGTACAACTGACTGAGAAATAGGTAATTAATTAATCTTTAATATTGTATTTACAGAGTGCCAAATAATTGGATGGATCAGTTTTTAAAAGGGCTATATTGAAGCCTATAAACACTATATATACATACATATGTATTTTTAAATTCAACAAACATTTATTTAATGCCTACAATTTCAAAATAGTTTGGTTAGGAGTTGTGGGATTTTGAAGATAAAAAGGATAGTCTTTGCTCACAATCTATATTTTTCTATCTTCTAGACATTTACAGGGAAATATTTAGAAGAATATCAAGTAATTAGGAGCAGAATATTTTATATCTTATGGTAAGACAATTATCTGTGTAGTCTATGGTGCTAATTAATTGCTCCTCAGACACTGCTATTATTTTTAAAGCCTCCAGGTGGCCTGGGATGACCCTTGCCTTTGGCATAGTCTTCAAACCCTTGTGTAGTCTCCTCCCACAATAACCAAGCCCTAAGTGACCAACAGAATACAGTGGAAAGGACAGTGTGTGGCTTCCCAGGCTAGATCTTTAAAGAATGGCAGTTTAAGGGCTCTCCCTCTCTGGAGCACACCCCACCTTTCCCCTTCCTGTCTTCCCTCAGGTGCATTACCTTTGCTTTTCTCTCTCCTAAGCTCCAAGGGCCTTTTTGTATCTGTAACCTGTTTCCTGAACCTAGGCAGCCCAGCTGGCTCACTTCTAGTACCTTTGCAACTTTCTAAATAAACTTTCTCTTATAATATGAAAAAAAAAGAAAAAAAGAATGGCAATCTCAATCTTTGCCTCTTGGACTGCTTACTCTATCTAGGACAGCAACCTGCAAATTAGGGCTCATAGGCAGAATCCATCCCACAGACTATTTTTGTATGACCTGTAGAACAAGATTGAATTTGTATTTTTAAAATACATGTCTTTTATAAAAAGAAAAATAAGTGACAAAAGCTGGATGTGGTCCACAAAGCTTAAAACATTTACTATCTGGTCTTTTACAGAAAAAAGTCTGCCACCCCAGCTCCGAGGAATCCAGGCACCTTGCTATAAAGACACTCAGATAGCCCTGTGGAGAGGCCAATATGGAAAGGAACTGAGGCCTCCTACCCACAACCAACACAAGCTTGTTAGCCATGGGTAAGCCACTTTGAAAGTAGTCTCCAACTCCCACTTACATCTTCAGAAGATTGCAGCCTCAGCTGATATTGGCCTGTTTCCTCATGGAAGACACTGAGCCACAACCTGGGCATGTGCCTTGGTCTGGAATCACACCTGAGACCTTTGGATGTATGAGATGACACTCCAACCAACTGAGCCACACCGGTCAAGTCAAAGCTGAGATCTTAGGAAGGATGAGAGAGACCAAATAATAGGAGAGAAGGGAGTTCCTAAGAGAACATTGTATAGGTTAAAAGCTCAGAGGCAAGAGGGAGCAAGCATGGGGTATTTAAGGAAAAGAAAATAGTCAGTGCATAGGTAGATGGCTGGGGAACAGTGATGGGAGATAAGGGGTAGGAGTCTTCTAAGCCTGGTGAGAAGTTTGAATTTTAGCTTGAAGGTGAGGGAGTGGTCTGCTCAGTCTTCACTTTAAAAAGAAAACTCTGGCTACAGGGGAATTGGGGAGCTGTCATCACCCAGGTGGCAGTAATGGTGGGCTCTACTCAGAAAGTGCAGTGAGGATGGAGAGTTAAGAGGTAAATCAATAGATATTTAAGAGAGAGAAAAAACAGCAGGAGAGGGTTTGATTATTGATAGATATGCTACATGCTGACAAAGGGGGAGGAAAAATGTCTGCCTATGGCAACTAAATGGGCCAACCCTCTGGGACAGGAGACACCAAGGTAGGAGCAGGTTGACCGGAAGGTGGAGGCAGGTTGAGTGAAAGGTAGCTGGAGGATATGTTGAGTTGAATCTCAGGAGACTAGGCTTAGAGGTTTGGGAATCATCTGCATGGAAGGCAGAAGAGAAGAAGATTCACGATTGAACCCTGGACGGGTCCATGTGGAAGAGAAAGAAGAGCTTGTAAAGGAGAGTTAGATGGGCTTTTGAGAGGTAAGAGAAAAACCAAAAGAAGGTGGAATCAGGAAAATCCAGGGACTAGGGTTTTCCAGAGGGAGGGAGTGGTCAACAATGTTCAATGCCATTGAGAACCAGGTGGAAGCATTAGACAAACTCAAAACGAGGGACATTCTACAAAATAACTGACCTGTACTCTTCAGGAAGTACAAAGAAAGACTGAAAAACAGAGATTAAAGGAAATTAAAGGATATGAAAACTGATTTGCAACGCATGATCCAGGATTTTCTTTTGCTACATCTTTTTATAATTTTTAATCATTGCATAATAATTATTATTAACTTCATTCAATTATATTTGAGAGAGAGAAACATCAATTTGTCCCACTTATTTATGCATTCAATGGTTGATTCTTATATATGCCCTGACTGGGGATCAAACCTGCAACCTTGGCGTACCAGGACCACACTCTAACCAGCCGAGCTATCCAGCCAGGGCTGAGTTTGTCATTTTTCTGAAACAAGAGAGTACCTTAAGATCATTCTAGAGTTTCTCTCATCACAATCTATTATGTACTTTGGAAAGTACATAATGAGGTGTCACATTAAAAAAAAGTGAAAAATCAAAATTACATGCTTTGATTGCTAATGCACTGCCAACAAAAGAAGGTCCAGCCTGTAGAAAAGTTTTATGTTTATTTGAGCCCACATTTTGAGGACATGCCCAGGAGCAAGATCTCAACAAATTGATAAAACATTCCAGATCATGACAGTTTTGCGGCTTACTTTATATATTACAATCAAAAGAAAAGAGGTAAAAAGGATTTCATGAAAATTCATTGGTGGTAGATGTAAGGGGTGGTTGAAAACAAAGTAGGGAGATCTCTAGGATTGGATACAAAGCAAAGGGGAGAAACATTTCTTTTATACTGGTGGGCACAGGATAGTTAACAACCAACATTTACAGCAGGTAGAGATGGTATTTAGGGAACACAGTAACCAGGAGGAGTTTCACCGTGTTGGACTCTGGCGCCAGAGGCTGTGCTTCCCAGGGGTCTAGAAAAAGCATGAGGCTGTCGCTTTGAAGGTATGTTATCCTAAATGCACAGCACAGAGGACAGAGCCCACTTCAGGTCAAGATTGGCCTTTGTAAAGCTCTAGGCCTGGCTATGACTCTCGGCCACGGCTCTCCCAGGTAGGAATTTATAATCGGACCCTTCTATGGGGTTATTTTCAGCCATCGAGTCTGCAAGGCCTGCCAGGTGCCACTGCCACCGCACCCCAGCTTGCCAGGTTTGATATGCAGCCCCTTTTTCATTCATAGCGCTAAGCTGGAAGAGAGAATAAAATCCACAGCTGCTGTGTTAGATTTGTCTGAATGCGGAGGGAAGTTAGTTTTACTTCTTATTGTATCTTTAAATTTGCCTGCTAAGGCCTGTCTTAGCTCACCGTGTCTGGCATGTGACCGGCCAACTCTCAGGTTGTGCAGGACTCTAATGGATGGGGTTTTACCCCAAGGGAGGCATCTCCTGGAGATGGGACAATAACCCGCAGCCCCTTCCCTGCGGTCTTGCGGTCCTGGGCCCAGGGGGCTGGGCGTCATCTTGTGCACGGAAAGCTTCTGGGTTCCATCTCCACAGGGGTGGAAGGCAACCCATCATCTATGCCTCTTGCACCTGCCCCCCCTCCCTTCCTCTCTAGGCATGTCCTTGGTGAGGATTTAAAAAAAAAAAAAGTTAAAATATTTTCATTCCTTTTGTTAATTTCTCTCCACTTTTTATGGTTTTTAACGTATTCACATTTTTAAAATTTTTTAAATAGTTTTCCTGTTCCCTTCAGGGTCCACCAAATCCATTTTATCAATAAACCTCTCTAGAAATTGCCCAAACTAGCCACCTGCCTGCGAAAAGCTTGGGCAAATGCCCTTAACCAAGATGGCCGCAGCTACCTTCCGTGGCCCCTGCTTGCCCTCAGCAAAGATGGTTCTAATGGCTTCCTTTTAAACTCGCTCTTCCCTGAACAAACATGGCGCCTCCACTTCCGTATTCCAGCGTGCTGCCGCTGCGGGAGGGTGAGTGTAACTGGCGAGGTTGGGGGCAGGTTGTCTGTGGATTCAGGAGCGCCTGGGGACCGGGCGCAGAGAGGGGTTCCCCGCAGTGTTTCAGATGGTTCTCTCACAGTTGGGAAGCTATGGCCGCTTCTCCTGGCGCACTTCCAGTTCCCCGCCATCTGCCCCTCCTCCGCCCCGGCCTTCGGCCTCTGCCGCTTCAGCAGCCTTGGCTCCCCCAGCTCGCGGGCGGGCTATCTGGGTGAGCTTAGGCCCTTCTCCTTTTTTAAAAAAAACCCAGCTTTGTTGAGATATAACTTACATAAAATAAAATTCCCCTTTTTAAAGGCCTGGTGACATGTGGCTTTTTAAAGGTTTGGTGACATGTGGCTTTTTAAAGGTTTGGTGACATGTGGCTATAGAAACGTTCTATAAGAGTTTATGAAGAGTTAGAAGAGTTAATTATTTGAGCCTGTCTTTTTATTTTTATCACTAGCTTTTTTAAAAGTAATGCTTTCAAAATTTGTCCTTGGAGCATGTGTCAGAATTTCATTCCTTTCCTGCTGGAAAATATTCCATGTCTGCATCTACCAAATTTTATTTACCCACTGGTTAGTTGATGGAGGTGTGGGTTGTTTCCACGTTTTGTCTGTTGTGAGGAAGGCCGCAGTGAACCCTTCTGAAGGTTGGTGTGAACACGTGTTTTTATTTCTTGAGCACGGACCTGCGAGTAGGAGGAATTGCCTGGAGGGAGCGCAGCTCCGCTTATCCTCTGAGACACTGCCAAGCTGTTTTCCAAAGTGCATGCACCGTTTTCCTTTTGTGTGTGAATATCCGTTTATCCCAGCGTTGAAAAGACAGCCCCTTCCAGGAGGCCTGCCTGGGCACCCTGTGGAAGGCCAGCCGGCGAAGAGACGCTTTCCCACGGCAGACACACAGGTGGCTGCAGACGCAGGAAAAGATGCCAGCTTCACTGATTACAGGGAGATGCAAATCAAAACCACAGTTAGATATTAGCTCATACCTGTCAGCAAGGCTGTTATCAAAAGGACAATAAATAGCAAGTGTCGGTGAGGATGTGGAGGAAAGGGGATCCTCGTGCGCTGTCGGTGGGAACGCAAAGTGGTGTAGCCCCTGTGGAAGACAGTACCGAGGGTCCTCAAAAAATCGGCGATTCAGCAATTCCACTTCTGGGTATTTATCCGAAGAAAACAAAAACACTAATGAAAAAAGATAAACCCTATGTTTATGGAAGCATTATTTACAATTGCCAAGATACAAAAGCAACCTAAGTGTCCATCGATAGATAAGTGGATAAATAACATGTGGTATGTATATAGAAGGGACTATGACTCAGCTATAAAAAAATGAAATTTTGCCATGAGTGTCAACATGGATGGACTTAGAGGGCATTATGCTAAGTGAAGTAAGTCAGAGAAAGACAAACACCATATGATTTCACTTATATGTGGAATCTAAAAAATCAAAACAAGACAGAAATAGACTCATAGGTACAGAGAACAAACTGATGGCTGCCAAAGGTGAGGGGGGTGGGAGGATTGGAAAAATAGGTGAAATGGATTAATAGATACAAACTTTCAGTTATAAAATAAATAAGTCACCAGGATGTAATGCAAAGCATAGAGAATATAGTCAATAATATTGTAATTACTTTGTATGGTAACATGATTATAACACTTATTGTGGGGATCATTTCATAAGATATATAAATATTGAATCATTGTATTGTACACCTGAAATGAATATAATATTGTATATCAACTATACTTCAATTTTTTTTTTAGGAGTTTTAAAAAATATATTTTTATTGATTTCAGAGAGAGGAAAGGAGAGGGAGAGAGAGTGATAGAAACATCAATGATAAGAGAGTCATTGATCGGCTGCCTCCTGCATGCCCCCTACTGGGGATCAAGCCCAAAACCCGTGCATGTACCCTGACTAGGACTCGAACCAAGATCTCCTGGATCCTAGGTCAATGCTCAACTGTTGAGCCACTCCTGGCAGGGCTACTATACTTCAATTTTAAAAACAGAGAGTCAATTGACCGTAAACGTAAGATTTTACATCTAGACGCTCAATTCATCTAGACTCTCAATTCTGTTCCATTGATCTATATGTCCAATCTTTTGCCAATACTACACAGTTTTGATTATTCTGGCTTTGCAGTAAGTTTTGAAATTGAAAAGTATGAGTCTTCCAACTTTGTTTTTCTTTTTCAAAATTGTTTTGGCCATTCTGGGTCTTGTATTTCCACATGAATTTATGAAACAGTTTTGACAAATGTCTGCCAAAAAAAAAAAAAGGTAATTGAGATTTGGTAAGAATTGCATTGATCTTTAGATCAATTTAGACAATAAAATATTAAGTCTTCCATTCCATGAACATAGGATGTCTTTCCATTCATATAGAGTTTTAGTTTCTTTCAACATTTATTTTGTAGTTTTCAGTGTATGTGCTTTACACATTTTTATTAAGTATATTTCTAAATATTTTATTTTTTGATGCTATTGTAAATGGAATTGTGTCCTTTTAATTTCAATTTAATTATTTATTGCTAATGTGTATAAATATATGAGTTCTGCAGCTCAACCTCCATCTCCAAGTGGACTTCCTTGAAGCTTAGTCCAAGGCTCTCTCCTCACACATATATTTATGTGTGTGTATATGTATATACACATTTTTAGAACCATTTGAGAGTATGTTTTAAACATCATGTCCCTCTACCAATATATATTTGAGGAGCATTTCCAAAGAATAAGGACATTCCCTTATGAACCAGGTTTTGTTGAAAAATGGGAGCAATTTGGACATGTTGAAAAATCTAAGTGACAGTCCAGTGGAACAAAATCTAGAGGAGAGATTGTTGTCACTAAAGGCTATGGGCAGATCCAAAGAGTGGCATCTAAGGCCCAGGTTGGCCACTTATAATTCAAGCTCTTTTAAGAGAGGAAAATATGCATTTCTGGAGAAGGAAGTTGAACCACATATCAAAAGTTTTGGGGCAGCCAGGCCAGAGTGGCTCAGTTGGTTAAACGTCATCCTGTGCACCGAGGAGTTGCCAGGTCAATTCCCAGTCAGGGCACATACCTAGGCTGCGGGTTTGGTCCCCTGTTGGGGCACATGCAAAAGTCAACCAATAGATGTTTCTCGTTCACATTGATTTTTTTCTCTCTTTCTCCCTTCCTCTCTCTAAGCATGTCCTTGGTTGAAGATTTAAAAAAAAGAAGTGTGGAGGCAAAAGATAATCATTGTATTCTGCTTGCCAGCCTACATGGTTTCAGACCATAAGAAGAAGCATCTCATCTGTCCCTGTTACTTGCTTTGTGTAGGCATTTTTTTCTTTATTTGTTCAAATGCCTAGTTTGGAATGTATTTGACATTTAATATAAGTGATTCTAAAAGAAAAGCTAGATATCACATCAATGCGCTATTTGTTTTCAAAAAGGATTTCTTTCGTTTCATGTTGCTAATGACACCTTTACTTGATGGTTGACTTCAAGGCGCCTTTGCAGGCAGGCAGGCAGGCAGGCTATGCCATGTCATTCATTGACCTGTTTGTTCCCTTTCTGAAGACTCCAGAACAGTGTTTGGTAACATGAGAGAAGGAGGAGCCACCAATAGCTTGGAGCAGAGGTGTTTGCTGAAACTGCAGGCTTGGTTGGCTAATGTAGCTCATGTGAAAAGACAGGACGTTCTTGCTTCTTTGGGAACATTCACCACTCCACTCCTTTCAGAAACAATCAGCTGATGTCTTAGCTCTCTCTCTGCCAGAGCAAATGCTCATAAGAGCATGTGACTTGATGTCCTCAAACAAGAAGGATCTTGCCAGGTCTCTGTTGATTTGTTTTCACCTACCTCCTATCTGTGCCTACTTAGGTCACAGTGTGGAGGCTGTGCAGACGTAGGAGACTGGGAGGTCTTGGTCTGAGTTCATCCTAGCTTGGAACTTTCTAGATGGGTTTCCTTGGGCAAGTTATTTTACTTGTGTCTGGGTCTGACTGACTGTGAATGAGGGTAATTGTTGGATGACCTGCTTCATAGAGCTGTTGCAGATAAACACTTAGCACAATGCCTAGCAAGCAGCAAGCACTTGATAAACGTAAACTACTCTTACTATTGTACTGTCCATGTTATCCTGAAATTCTTCTTTCATTCTAGCATACATCTTTGAGATCTTTCAAGTTCTGACTCATTTTAACAGTTGCATAATATTCCATAACTTGGAATACTGCCTCCTCCCAAACCCATTCCTTCTCCTATCTTCTCTAACTCAGTTGATAATACAACCCAGGTGCCACTCCTCATTGACTATCTGTTTGTCTTTAGCTCCTTTAGCTATTCAGCTATTAAGTTCTACTCTCAGTTTACTTCCTAAATATGTTCTTAATCTGTCCCCTGCTCCTGACTGATAGTGCCCTGCCCTTGTTCACATGCTCTTCTTCTCTCACCAGGACCACTGCAGGTGAATGAATTCCTGTTGTTTTTGAGATTGCCTGCCACTGGGTGTAGGCCCTGCAAGTCTACCTGCTCCACAGCTGCCATATCTGCAGATCTGACCATGTGACTCCTCTGCATGGTGCATCGTGGCCCATGGCAGTCATGACGCATGATGCTGTTCATAATAAAATTTATTGATGACAACAACTTATGAGGCAGAGAGTAGCAGAGGATCCAAGATCTCCCCAGGCCCATAGTTATTTTACAGAGAGGTTGGCAGGGTTGGATGCACTGCAAAGAGCCCCCATGAGAGAACCTGGCCCACAGGTGGATATAGACCTAGGAGGGGTAAGGAACAACTCATTTTTAAAAAGAACACTGAACCTAATAATCCACTTTCATGGTCCCCAGAGCTCAGGTTGCTGTATATCCAGGTTGCTGAGAGCAGCCAGGCCTTGCTGTCCTTCCCAGACCTGGCACAGGAAGGGGAGAGGGCCGCAGCTAAGACCACAGGGTTTGTCTCTCCCCGGTTACACAGTGCATGACTGTTCCTTGACTCCCACTTTAAACTCCTGACACCCCATGCCACCCGCTGTTGCCCAGGCTGGTTCTTCTGGTGCCCGTGCTGTCCCTTGGCCGTGGCGTGGCCTGCCTTATGCTTGGGGATTACCTCCTCCAGAAAGCCCGCTGCCCCTTTCTGGGCTCCACTCTGTTTTGTCATTGTATTAACATGGTATGTTTCTGTGTTTGGATCACCCCAAACTGTGAGCAGCTTGAGGGAAAAGCCAGTCACATTCACCTTGGAGCCCCCAGGGCCTGGCCTATCAAATAATTGGAGTGCATGTTTCAGTAGGCCCAAAGGAAAATGCAAATCATCTGAAATCTCACTACTTAGAAATTAAACCACTGAATTAGTTACCAGTGAAACTAATTTGGGAATTTTTCTAGCTATAGATCAGTGTACTTCACACACAGACATCTCACACATGCTATTTTACGTTAAAGAATCTGGATCGAACCCTACCTATTGCTTTTCCATTGGGTATCTCATGAACAGTTTCTCTCCTCATTAAATATTCTCATAGTCCTTGAATGACAGCGCTGCGCAGTAGTTCATCCTATTAGACACACAGCTTATCTTCTAGCTGCAATTATTAATGATTCCTTTCATAATGAGAATAGCTGTTTCTCATGGTGAAGAAAATATGATAAATACTGGGTCTGAAGTGCAGACAAGGCAGGAAAGAGAATATTCTGGTTCTACTGTGCTCCGGCCTGTGCAATTCTGGGACTTCAGTCCTTCCCGCCATGACTGCCTGTAATGGAGGCTCCTCTGTGCAATGCCTTTGTATTGATCGCTTTATTTTTCCCGTGGCAGGACTATGGCAACTCAGCGAGCCACTCCAGGCAGCCAGTCAGAGGAGAGCAATACTCTGGAGCTGCCGTCGGCTTGTGACATAAGAGATTACGTGCTGCAGGAACCCAGCCAGGAGGCCTGCAGCGAGGCAGTTAGTTCTGCAGAAGCCCTTTCCACCCCTTCCTCCTCTGAGGTGGATCCAGGTAAGGAGCAGAGTTTAACGCAAACATTAAAAAACACACATCCAAACCCTAACAGATACAGGTAGGCAGTAGTTTGTTTCTCTCTCTCTCTGCAGAATGAGTCACTGGCTCAGGTAGAAAAACATCTTATCTGAACAAAACTAGGGAGAGACTTCAAAAGACCGCCTCCCTGAAAAGCTGTTTCCTGGAAGCCTTTTTGTGTGTGTGTCTCAATCCCTTTCTGATCTCCATCCAAATGCGTCAGAGGCAGGGGAACACTTGGTTCAACAGGGAGAGAGTGGAATTGCTTTTTAGTTTTGTTCTCTTAAAACTTCAGAAAATAGCAGTGTGGGCCAGTTACGTGTTATAGGTAATAGTAATAAGTACTCCTCGTGTGATGGATACTCTGGATTTAGGTAACAACTTTTCTACAAGTTTCTCTGACTCAGTTACCCAAAAGTCTGTTATCACATTGTTTGCGGGTAGTTTTCATCGCGCGCTCTACTACCAGTCAACGTAAAACGTATAAATACGTTTCCTGCATACAATGCGTTATTTAAGCTTAACGATAATTCCTTGACGTAGTGCCCATCTCTGGCTGTGAAGCTCCTGTCTTCCCCGTTCATTGCCCAGTTCAGATCTGGAGATCCCCAGGCCTGGATTCAGAGCCTCGCTCTGTTCTTCCAGAGAATTCAGTGTGGGCTCAGTTTTTATTTTTATTGCCTTTTGGAGGAATAATTCATAGAAAAGCAACTGTTATTATTTAGAATTTGGTTGACAGTTCTAAAAACAAGAAGCATGTTGAAATATTTACATCGGAGTATTTATTAATAATATAGACATTTCATGCAAAAAAAGGAGGTTCTCTTAGAAACTCTGATAAAGGTCTAAACATGGGAAGACGCGCTCAAGTGCTAAGACAAACATATTGCATGGTATCGGTGGGTGGTACTGGGTCAGACTGTCTGGCTTGAATTCTGGTTCTGCTTCTTCCTGTGGTTTGACCTTGGGTAAGTCACTTGGCCTCTCTCCTCTGGTTTCTTCACTTGTAAAGTGAAGATAATAACACCTCATTGTGGGGAGGGGTAATGAGAATGAATATGTATGAGGCATGGTACCTGGCACGTGGTGGACTCTTGAAAATCCAGCTCTTCCTAACCTCACAGCCCTTGGGCCGCTCAGCCCACTACCACGCTGACCTCCCGCCTCCCACGGACCCTTCGTGCTGCCCAGCCATCGCACTGTTGTCCTAGTGTTCACCCTCCCACTCTCCTGGATGACTGCTTTGTACCTTCTCCTCTCTTTGCAAACCTCCATTACCTCCTCCTTCAGGCTGTCTCTGATGACCTGATTAGCTGATGACCCGGTGAGCTGATTTTCTGTTTCATCGAGAGACCAGAAGCAATCAGAAGAGAGGGTCCACACACACACCGCACACCCATCAGCTTTCTTTCCTCCTGGATCTGGGGCACTCCTGTCCCTGTTTTTTCCTTCGCTTCTGTGCTAGATCCTGTCTTATCTCACCTACTCAAGGTTGTCACTCTGTCAGTCTTCTGTGTCATCAGATCCCCCTTCTACTGGCCATTCTCATGATCATGAAAACATGTTATAATATTTCCCATCTTTAAAAAACTTCCACCCTACACCCCAAATTTTCCTCTAGTTACAATCTTGTTTCTTCTTCCTACAGAAAACCCTCCCAAGTATCATGTACACCTGCTTTCTCCAGTTCCTCTCTTCAGTTCCTCCTGAAACGCTCCAACTTGGCTTCTGTCACCATCACTCCACGGAAATAGCTCTTGTCAAGGTCAGGGATGACTTCCACATTGCTAAGTCCAGTGGGCATTCTTCAAGCTTCATCCTTGCTGTATCAGCAGCACTTACACAGTTGGCCCTTTTCTTCTTGAATTCTTTCCTTACTGGGCTTTCTGGGAAGCAGCCTCTCATGGTTCTCTTCTTTCTTTACTGTCAATTTGTTCGGTCTCCTTTGCTGATTTCTTCTTGCCTCTCCAGCCTTTTAATGTTGGAGAGCCCCAGGGCTGAGTCATCAGATCTCTTCTCTATTATCACTCACTCCCTGAATGATCTTACTCAGTTTGGGGACCTTAAATGCCCTCAGTACCTTGCTTACTCTCACGTTTCTCTCTCCAGCTTGGATCTCTAGCTTGACACTTAGAACATCTGTATACTTGTCATAATCACTTGGATTTCCATTAGAGTTCTTTGTAAAAAAATAATTTTTTATTTTTTAATTACTCTGATTTCTTAAATTTGACACATCCTAAACCAAATTCCTAATACCTCTACCCCTTCCTCAGCCCCCACCCCCCACCGTGCACATACGCACATCTGTTATTTGAGGGTTTGAGGCTTTCTTATCTCAAGAAAACACTTCCATCCTTCTGTTCATTTAGACAAAAATCTAGGAGTCGCCCTCAACTTCTCTCTTTCTCTTAAACCTCATATCCAGTCCATTGGCAAATCCTGTCACCTCTGCCTTCAGAATAAATCTAGACTCTAGACAGTTTCCACTGCCACCGCTCCGGTCCCAGCCGCTATCATCTGTCTTCCGGATTACTGTTACAGTCTCCTAACTGGATTTTCCATACCTTCCCTTATCTTCCTACAATTCCTTCTCAACACAGCAACCAGAGGATCCTTTTAAAATATAAATCAGATCATGTTAGTCCTTGGTACAAAATCCCTGATGGCTTCTCATCTGACTCAGAGCAAGAGCCAGAGTACTTAACCCATGCCCTCTGGGCCCTGGGCCTGCAGCCCCTCTGATCTTACCTCCTACC